CCTCCGTTCCAGGAAGTAGGCCAAGAAAGGCTTAATCTGTTCTGTCCAGTTAGAGCACTGGACGCTTACGCACACAGAGCTGCCTCGTGGCATAAGGCAGATCAGCTGTTTGTTTGCTTTGGTCCGCCAAAGAAAGGATCTCCGGCAACCAAGCAGACTATGGGTAGGTGGGTGGTCGAGGCCATCTCACTAGCCTACGAGTCCTCTGGCCTCCTGTCACCTATGGGGGTCAGAGCGCACTCGACCAGGAGTATGGCGGCCTCCAAGGCTTTCAACTTGGGTGTGGCCTTGCAAGACATTTGTGCTGCAGCGGGCTGGTCCTCACCGCACACTTTTGTCCACTTCTATAACCTAGACCTGTCATCTACCTCAGGTTCCCAAATTCTCTCTTCGTGATGTGCTCATCTGATACACACACAGGCAGGGACTTGGTAGTATGGCGCAGTGGGTATTCTCGTTCCCAAAGCGAATCTCGACGCAGCTCGAGTTCCTGAAGGGGAACGTCTCTAGGTTACGTATGTAACCATGGTTCCCCGAGGGAACGAGACGCTGCGTCTCTTTGCCATACTCCCTGCATCCCTCCAGGCGCTACTTCATCGAAGCTAACTTGCGCTCTGCCGGATGCGTTTTATACTTCCTGACGCTCACGTCACCCCGCTCGTGATGTCTCGCCGCTCCATTGGACTGATTTTACACGTGTTTCAGAACGCGGTCACGCAGGGGCGTTCCCAAAGCGAATCTCGACGCAGCGTCTCATTCCCTCGGGGAACCATGGTTACATATGTAACCTAGAGACGTTATCACTATGTTGGAGACGCGCTAGTTTTCACAAGGCAGACGAACTTAGAGTGGTTATAATCATCCGGGTTTAAACCGCGCTCAAACTGATTTGGTTTTGAGATTTTTGACATAATATTTACACTGAAGCTCACAGGTGGCTATGGTAAGGGGCATGACATTTCCCGACCAGGCGCAGAGTGCTGCCAATCACAACACACACTGGCCCAGCTAACCAATCACAGCACATTTCGTATTTCAGAAGGCGGGCCTTCATTTGATACAGGAACTATTCGAGACGTTCATGCCAGACTGGGGAGAGAGGTGTTGTAATAATGTAAAATATGTGAAAAATACTGCGTTTTTCGAACAACCTAGTACGAGAGCCTGTTCTAGTGCACCCCCAAAACAAAATCAAGACTTTGTAAAAGAGCATAATAGGACCCCTTTAAGGCATAACATTCATAACAGAGAGAATTTTGTATAAAACCGTTACCTTGTCTGTTTATGATGTCGATAAGGATGTCAATCACAATAATTGTGCCTGTTCTTCCAATCCCTGCACTAGAATGACAATGACAAATGGAAATTTAGATTATGGGGGAAAATGTATATTTTTAAACAACATCTGAAATAATCAACTCAGTTAAGCAATTCTTTATCAGTATGGCACTCTCAAAACTACACTGTGTGAGGTGTGCTATACCTGCAGTGAACAACTATGGGTCCACTCTCTGGAATGGCACTCTGGGTTCTGTTGACTTGCTCAAGGAAACTCAAGACTCCTCCAGGTTCATTGGGAACACCGTGATCAGGCCAGCTCAGGTACTGATAGTGCCAGATACACCTAGGAGGCTCTCTCTTTATTACAGATGGACAAAAAAACATTAGATTATTAAACAAAATTAAGAAAAAAAACTGCATCTAAACTGGATTTGTACAAAAATGTAACGCAACACGTCACTAAAGTGATGTAGAAGGTTCTCTGCTACTGTAAACAAAAAGGTCTAAGGTCATGACTGCCCCCCAGTACCGTCATCTCAACTGTCACGAGAGTGATCTTACCCTGTCTAGACGAGTGACTTCAAGCTCTCGCCGTATGTAGTCCTGAGCTGTGTGTTCCTCAATGTTCTTCACACTCACCTTCCCAAACTCCTTTGTTGAATTTAAATCCGGCCAGTACCGCACACACTTATTCTACAGAAAAAAATTGTACGTTTTTAGTCCCCCCCCCAAAAAAACTGTGTTGTACATTTAGTTAAATAGTGGTGCTTTGAATTGAAATATTTTTATGGATATATTAAAATAGAGTATTTCTCAAATTAAGCATTAAGAATGTTTAAAATTTTATTAAAATTTTATTTTTCACTTGTTTTTTTAAATAATGAATATAGCAAAAATGTTAAATGAAATGTTAAATTAAGGCCATGTCCACACGTACAGGGGAGTTTTTCCTTCTTCCGTTTTAAAAAAAATCTCCGTCCACATGAAAACGCAAACGCATGCTATGAAGCACTGTCAAGAGCATGCCAAACCAACAGGTGACGGTATAATCTCAACCGTAAAGCCATGTTGGCCAATCAGAAGCCTGAAAAAGTCTCCAGTAGGCAGAGATAACAGTGCAGGCGCCGACGTCACAAGCCAAAAACTCCAGTTTCGCTGTCTACACAATAACACTGCAACCGGAGTTTTTGAAAATCTTCACCCTGGCAGGCGTTTTCAAAAATGTTCGGTTTCAGTGACCTGGTGTTGCGTTTGCGTGTGGACGAACAGCCAAACCACGTAGAAAAAGCTGCGGTTTTAAAAATAACCTTGTTCGTGTGGACAGGGCCTAAGATTTTTTTTTTTTTTTTTACATTTCGCAATATATGCACTGTGCGTTTTTGATCTTGTGAATTTAATCTTATAACCGACAAATCAAAACAAAATTAAAATTGTTTCATCTAGTGCTGGACCTTACCCGTCCTCTCTCCATCTCCTTGGTTGTCATCACAATAACATGAGTGTTTTCCTGGTACACCATTTTCCAGAAGTCTAAGATGGTGTTCTGAAGGCAACCCTGAGTGGCGATGAACACTTTACCTTCATCCATATGGCAACCTTCTTCATTCATGCTCTAAATGAAAAAAGCAATAAAGACGACACTCAGGATTATAAAGAACATGCAGTGTGTACAATTTTTGATCAAAAATCTTCACCCTGGCAGGCGTTTTCAAAAATGTTCGGTTTCAGTGACCTGGTGTTGCGTTTGCGTGTGGACGAACAGCCAAACCACGTAGAAAAAGCTGCGGTTTTAAAAATAACCTTGTTCGTGTGGACAGGGCCTAAGATTTTTTTTTTTTTTTTTACATTTCGCAATATATGAACTGTGCGTTTTTGATCTTGTGAATTTAATCTTATAACCGACAAATCAAAACAAAATTAAAATTGTTTCATCTAGTGCTGGACCTTACCCGTCCTCTCTCCATCTCCTTGGTTGTCATCACAATAACATGAGTGTTTTCCTGGTACACCATTTTCCAGAAGTCTAAGATGGTGTTCTGAAGGCAACCCTGAGTGGCGATGAACACTTTACCTTCATCCATATGGCAACCTTCTTCATTCATGCTCTAAATGAAAAAAGCAATAAAGACGACACTCAGGATTATAAAGAACATGCAGTGTGTACAATTTTTGATCACAGTTCCAGTAACCCAGCAAAAGCTTGACATTTAGATTGACATGTAAGTATTATGAGCGAAGAGAGGGGATTACTCGGATATAGTTAGCATTGATGTAATCGGAGCCAGGCACGTCAGGATCCGCCTCCTTGATTTGCACTCGAGTGGTGTCAACTGCAACAGAGAAAATGATGATCAAACAGGAACAAGAGCCCTGGAGATCAGCTGCTGCTCTCAAATAGAACTCATGACCAAATCAACCAATAAGAACAAGACAACCAATTGCAAGATTACATAAGGGCATGGGCAACACATGAACACATGTATAAAACAAAATAAAAGATATGAAAATGAGAACATAAACCAGCATAATAGGACCCCTTTAAGGCATAACATTCATAACAGAGAGAATTTTGTATAAAACCGTTACCTTGTCTGTTTATGATGTCGATAAGGATGTCAATCACAATAATTGTGCCTGTTCTTCCAATCCCTGCACTAGAATGACAAATAGAAGTTTAGATTATAGAGCACACAATGAGGGAAAATGTTGTATTTTTAAACAACTGTGTTGACATCTGATATAATCAACTCAGTTCAGCAATTCTTTTTTGTTATGGCCCTCTCAAAACTACATTAGTCAAAGGGATAAGTGAGGTGTGCTATACCTGCAGTGAACAACTATGGGTCCACTCTCTGGAATGGCACTCTGGGTTCTGTTGACTTGCTCAAGGAAACTCAAGACTCCTCCAGGTTCATTGGGAACACCGTGATCAGGCCAGCTCAGGTACTGATAGTGCCAGATACACCTAGGAGGCTCTCTCTTTATTACAGATGGACAAAAAACATTAGATTATTAAACAAAATTAAGAAAAAAAACTGCATCTAAACTGGATTTGTACAAAAATGTAACGCAACACGTCACTAAAGTGATGTAGAAGGTTCTCTGCTACTGTAAACAAAAAGGTCTAAGGTCATGACTGCCCCCCAGTACCGTCATCTCAACTGTCACGAGAGTGATCTTACCCTGTCTAGACGAGTGACTTCAAGCTCTCGCCGTATGTAGTCCTGAGCTGTGTGTTCCTCAATGTTCTTCACACTCACCTTCCCAAACTCCTTTGTTGAATTTAAATCCGGCCAGTACCGCACACACTTATTCTACAGAAAAAAATTGTAAGTTTTTAGTCCCCCCCCCAAAAAAACTGTGTTGTACATTTAGTTAAATAGTGGTGCTTTGAATTGAAATATTTTTATGGATATATTAAAATAGAGTATTTCTCAAATTAAGCATTAAGAATGTTTAAAATTTTATTAAAATTTTATTTTTCACTTGTTTTTTTAAATAATGAATATAGCAAAAATGTTAAATGAAATGTTAAATTAAGGCCATGTCCACACGTACAGGGGAGTTTTTCCTTCTTCCGTTTTAAAAAAAATCTCCGTCCACATGAAAACGCAAACGCATGCTATGAAGCACTGTCAAGAGCATGCCAAACCAACAGGTGACGGTATAATCTCAACCGTAAAGCCATGTTGGCCAATCAGAAGCCTGAAAAAGTCTCCAGTAGGCAGAGATAACAGTGCAGGCGCCGACGTCACAAGCCAAAAACTCCAGTTTCGCTGTCTACACAATAACACTGCAACCGGAGTTTTTGAAAATCTTCACCCTGGCAGGCGTTTTCAAAAATGTTCGGTTTCAGTGACCTGGTGTTGCGTTTGCGTGTGGACGAACAGCCAAACCACGTAGAAAAAGCTGCGGTTTTAAAAATAACCTTGTTCGTGTGGACAGGGCCTAAGATTTTTTTTTTTTTTTTTACATTTCGCAATATATGCACTGTGCGTTTTTGATCTTGTGAATTTAATCTTATAACCGACAAATCAAAACAAAATTAAAATTGTTTCATCTAGTGCTGGACCTTACCCGTCCTCTCTCCATCTCCTTGGTTGTCATCACAATAACATGAGTGTTTTCCTGGTACACCATTTTCCAGAAGTCTAAGATGGTGTTCTGAAGGCAACCCTGAGTGGCGATGAACACTTTACCTTCATCCATATGGCAACCTTCTTCATTCATGCTCTAAATGAAAAAAGCAATAAAGACGACACTCAGGATTATAAAGAACATGCAGTGTGTACAATTTTTGATCACAGTTCCAGTAACCCAGCAAAAGCTTGACATTTAGATTGACATGTAAGTATTATGAGCGAAGAGAGGGGATTACTCGGATATAGTTAGCATTGATGTAATCGGAGCCAGGCACGTCAGGATCCGCCTCCTTGATTTGCACTCGAGTGGTGTCAACTGCAACAGAGAAAATGATGATCAAACAGGAACAAGAGCCCTGGAGATCAGCTGCTGCTCTCTCATTAAATTATTAAACATATCTGTCCATTATTAACCCTGAAAAATAATGTACATAAAAGAGAGTTACTCACATGGTAGAATGTTCTTATATCTGTTCTTGTTTTTATTTTCTGGTCTCTGCCCCTCTTTCCTGGGGTAGAGGAGTTTACATTCTTGCTGCTGTAAAACCTACAGAACCACAAGGGACAATATAAAGCAAGTAAGGATGAAACATGGTTCCATGTATCAAGTAATGAACTCTGGAAAGTATCCATTCTAACTTTGCTGTGTAATGAGATGTTATGTTAAGTCAGCACCCCCTGCAGGAATGTCCCATTTATCTGGACAGTTACCGCCCAACAGGAACTGCAGTTTCAGAGGTCAGTGAGCAGAGTCTTTTTATAAACAACTCTCATATCATACACTCCTCTGAGGTTTAATGAGTGTACTACAGCGGAAAGTACGCTGTTTATTCTTTCAAACGAAACCTGGACTGAATCATCACATCCCATGATGAACAGAAAATATGAGTAGAAGAATGAATATGGACAGAAATACCTCAAATTCTTCCCAGAAGCCTTGCTTGGGTTTCTCTGAGTTGTCAGCTACTTTATTTAATTCTCGTACCCTGTTTTCAATGTTTGCTGCATTTATCCTTGTGGCATTGAATGGCTTGTACATAGAGAAAGAAAGATAAAAACACCAAGAAAATGTAAAAAGGACCTTGTAATTGTAGTTATATAATTATGAGGGATAAAAGACTGCCATTGAATTAAAAGGATTAAAGCACAAACACACTTCAAGCTAAACATTTAAAACAAAATATTTACACAGAAATGCTATTTGTTAGGTTTCATATATATATATATATATATACACTGTTCAAAAATGTTATTTTTTAATGTTTTGAAAGAATTATCTTATGCTCACCAAGGCTGGATTTATTTGATATTATATAGTGAAATATCACAATTTAAAATAACTGTTTTCTATTTTAATATATTAATATAATATCTGAATGTCTTTCATGATCTTTCAGAAATCGTTCTAATATGCTGATATTCTGCTCCAGAAATATTTATCAGTGTTGAAAACAGTTGTGCTGCTTAATATTTTTGTAAAAAAACATGATTTTTCCATGATTTTTTGATGAATAAAAAAAGTTAAACAATAAATAAATAATAAGCTTACTGACCCCAAGTATGCTGTATGTACTTGTTTTTTTGCATTCGTAATTCACTGTTTGTGTGAAAAACATATATTCCTTTCAGGCTTGATTTACTCACCTGTTTAAGGTGTACAACAATTCCACTCTTCTCAACCATGGGGTTTTTCTTATAATGCTCCACTAAATCTGCCAAAGTGTCAAACCTCTCCCCTCCTCCTACATCATATTTTCCATCCTGGTGAAACCGATCAGATAAGAAATGTCTCTTTAAAAAAGCTGAGCTTTCTTTTCTTGAGAAAATGCTGAAGTTTTATTCCATATCTACCTGATAACGGATCATGACATGGGTAACTTTAGTCTTGCGGTCTACGTTTTCATGCTTTTCCTCATTAGTGAGGACAGAAAGTACAAAGTCTCCTGGTTTACTTTGGCTCTCTCTCACCAGGAAGCTGCCGGATTTACCTTTCTCCGTAAGGAGCTTTTCAGCATCTCTCCCTGAGAGATGTCCATGATACCACCTGAGAACAAGTAAAACACAACAATGAGGCACAGAAATACAAACACTGAGATTATTTTTTCCTGTAATGGCAAATCTGAATTTTCAGCAGCAACTACTCCAGTCTTCAGTGACACAAGATCGTTGAGAAATCATGAATGAATTCCCTCTGAAATAAATTATGTGTTTTGAAAACTCAACAATCATAATCTCTACATCTAAACACATATGTTTCCTGCAATGTTTCATATGCAAACCTTATTGTAATGCAAGTGATTAATAATGGCTGTGCCCACACACAAAAACACCTACTTTTTAATCATCGCCCACAAAAACGTGCACGCTTTTACTTGAAATGCACATTTCCAACTTTCACTATAGAAACTATAGTGTAAACTATAGTTTGTGGTCAGAAAATGAGCAGGGGTGTTGGTAGCGATCGCGCAAATGTGAAGACGCTGTCATGATATGAGGATATGTGTGGGAGGCACTTGCTCACAAACGGGAAAAACCACAAAAACGAACCACATATAATCTTTGAATATAAATACAATGTTTTTCATCGATAATGTTTTACGTATATAAATATTTTACTTCGATTTCACAACCTGGAGGATGTTGCACCATATAGACGCCATATAAACACCAAACCCAAGTATGTTTAGGTGAAGGAAGTTACAAAGTTCACTAAAACGAGACTGGGGCTCTAACGCATAAACATCAAACACAAACAGAATCAAGAAAGGACCTGGTCCACAGCACTAAAACAAATTGTTAGTCATGAAATCAAGATAAGCACAGCCTAGTTCTGACAAACAAACCACAGCCTGGCGTGCCATCAGTCTGCTACTTCTTCCTTTCTAACGATTAGCCCTCAGCAGGGTTTGAACACTAGGGGGCAGGATTTCGTCTGTCCACACTGATGCCACTCAAGCTCTAAACGTACCTCTCAGACGTGGGGTCTTTGCAGTTGAGGGGGTATTTCAGCTCAATAACATCTCCATTGCGTTCCCGCAGGAGGTCGTGCTGCTCAGTGTAGTACTGGACCAATTCAGCCAGCGTGGCAAACTTCTCCCCTCCGTACAGGTCATAATAGTCCCCCGAGTTCTGGATTTTAATATGGGTGACCTCATCGTTCCTCCTGCCCAGAACAAACAGATGGGACACAACAGGGAAAATGCAGGGAGGGAGGACATGAGGGATGACAGACAGGACGGAAAAGACAGATAACAGTTAGGAGGTTTGCATTAAAAACTCACACTTTAAACCAGGGTAAATGCTAAGGGAAATATCTTACAATGGTCGCGACATAAATGGGGTTTTATCAAAATAGCAAGAGTGACTAACAATAGCATCAATTACAACCAGCTGACAATTATAAACAAATTCAAATTTACCATAAAAAGCTTTTAGAATTTTATAGCCATCATAAAATGACATTTTAGCTGTAAAATATGCAGCTGTTATTGCAAATACATTTTTGAAAAGTGTTTTATTTTTATTATTATTTTATTTTATTATAAAAAAACTGTGTAATGATTAAAAAACGTAAGTTTTTTTTAAGCATTTTTTGTGGTATATACTGTGCAGGCTCGCTCTCTCTTTTAACTTTTGTTTGGTTATCAAAAGGTTAAAATAATTAACCACAATTAATCTCATGATCTTTTGCAGTGAACATCATATTCAGTTCCTTTTAAATGAAAAATACAAGTTAATAGGAACACAGTTATGCTTTGGTGTTGATGGGTCTTTGCAAACACTGTTATTAAAAAGAAGAAGTTTACACATTAGTTAAGTAACAGAACTTAATTTGACATTTTTAATTAATCAGACAGCAAAAACAGAAAATTTAAAATAATGCTCAATTTATATTTGAGAAAAACGCTAAGACACTGAGATTGAAGACATTCTTATCTGCTTAGACAAATTAACTTAGAGATTTGGGGAGGGAAAAAAAGTTAAAAAGCAAGGGACAAAGTGTTTTGAGGCAAACCAAAATTATAAACACAATACACTTAATGGAAAATTACTCTCAGCAGACTTCAGGTATACTGTCATCAAAACCGTCAAAAACTGCACTGCAGCTTTAAATGGCAGCGTATGGAAAAAGCAGAAAAGAACACCTGCATAGATATAATTAGCTGTGCTCAGGCACAAAACCACAACTTAACGCTTCATGAGCAGATCATACCTACAGCAATCCAGCTTAAACACACATACATAAAACTACAGAAAAACTAAATCAAGCGAAAAACAGCAACCGATCTAATATGAGACCATGATTCCTCTCCCATTTAATTTCTCTGGCTTTCTCTAGGAATTCATCACTCTATCCATCACAGGCCTGGCTCATGAAATTGCACTCTCCACTGTGTAATTGCATTATGGAGGTAACAGAGGAGGCAGAGCAGCACGGTCTCAGCAGTGTGGGGCTAATGGCTGCTGACTGCAGCAGATGAGCGGCTCTGTGCTCTGGGTCCGGTTGGGCTACTAATGCAATCACACACACACACACACACACACATACACACACACACACACACACACACGCACACACACACACACACACACACACACACACATACAC